CCCCCCCTCACGCCACAGCAAGTGCCACCCACCGCCGCCACACAAAACGACGGGGGAGCTCCACACCCCAGCCAGGGTAAATTGAAACAGCACACGCAATTAAAACAGAGTTTCAATTTTTAAGAAGAAAAGGTGTCCCCTGCATCACAAAACGGCAGAAAGGTTAGTGAGCAGCATCTCCTTACAGCAGCAGCCATACTGTAACACGCCGTCTGTGCCTGCTTTGTACGTCTCCACACAAGACTCGAAAGCTAAACTGAAGGTGAAGCTTCAAAAAAGAAATGTGCTTAATTAACCCTCACACACAGCATACAATTTAAGACAGACCACTTGCCAAGCATCATGGAGTCTGTATATCTTGAGTTTTCAACGCTAAATACCATATACACGTTTCCTCTGTACTACAAACAAAAAAAATAATTACATCTCCATGCTTGTGTAGGAATAGGGAAAAAGGACCCAAAAGTGTTCAGGGAGTAAAGCTGTGTGAAACAGCGGAAACTGGGGACGAGGAGAAGCCCGACTGTGTCTCCAAACCCAATATTTGAGGCTCTGAAGGGGAAGGAAGGAGGGAGGACAAGTTCTCCTGAGGCCAGGGTGTGCCCCGTTCCCAGACAAAGCCAGACTTTCCTGGCTCTTGCCTCACGGTGAAAGCAGTCACACCGGTAGGGCTCCTATTCACACCACTGGCATTTCTCTGCTCTCAGGTTCAAATGTGGTTCCAGAGGAAGGGAAAGAAAGTGTTTCCAACCAACTATGCCACTCAAAGTAACTACCTGCAACTTTTCCAAACATTCTCTGGGCAGGTTTAGAAAACTTTAACATCTAAGTAACATTCAAGTCTCAGATTTTGCTCTGGTATTCATTGTAGCAGTCCTCTAAGATTCAGTCACCAAGAAAAGGCAAGATACACCTCTGAGAATTATCCTATACGCTTCTATTTAGCTGTATGGGAGCACACCGTGGGACATGAGCATCATTATGGATCATAGTGAGTCAGTAACTATAAAAAGACCATGTTAAGTGGTTTCAAAACCCTGGACTGAGAGTCACATGAACCAGTTTACAGTCAGGTTCCAAACAAGCCTTCCCTGCTGTGTTTTAGTGGCCTTTCCTACAAGGTATTACAAACTGAGCATATTTCTACCTTAGAGAAAGCTCAATAAAAAGCAAACACACAAAAAGGAACACAAACCCCAATGGCCACAGCATATTTCTGCCTCAGGACATCTGCTGCTCATGAACTCTCTCCTCTGCATGACTTCTGTGCGTGCTTTTGGGTTCTTCAAACCAAATGCACAAAAATAAAAGCATGACTTGTACTCATGATTAAATGCAGCACTTCTCAGGATATATAAAACAGCAGGAAACTGCAGCAGAGTATTTTGGAGCAGATTCTTATAAGTGAATAGCTACAGAAAGGAGTATGTGAATTAGAATTGGAATGAAAAACTATTTCTCATGCTTCAGCTGTGAAATAAATCCATGATCTCTCCAGGCATGAACTCAATGACCTCTGTGGAAAAATATCACTCCAGAACACAGTGGGATTGACTCACTCAGGTGTGGGGCTTCTCCTTGCCCAAAACAGCATCCAGGGGGTTGGAAAGCCCAGCACGACCCTGCCATTGGTACCCACAACCATTCTGGGGGCTCGGCCTGGACAAGACACACAATACTTGTCCCAATAAATGTCACATACTGGAATTAAACCAGGCTAAGACCAGGAAAGCAGCAGAGTCTCTGCTCTTTAGGACACACAGAAAGCAAAGCAATGTTTTCCACGGTGGTGCTGCACCTGCCATCAGCTCATCCTTCCCCATTACCTCCAGCAAGTTATCAGTGTTGAGAATTCTCTGCTCTTCACCAAAGCAAAGGAATTTGTGAGGGTAGACAGCAGACACAGCAACTCACAAGTGTCACTACATCAGCAGCAAAGAACTCCTTTTTTTGTTTTCCCAAGCAAGACAGGCAACTCATTCCAAAATCACTGAAAATTTCTTGGAGTGGAATTAAGAGACTGTATCATTCCCTCTGGCAGGTAATCCCACAAGTAAAATTAGGCCAGATCTTATACTTTTATGATAGCACTTGTAATGTATGGCATTTAAAGGTACCCCAGCTCCTGTCTCTGCATGAAAACTTCAGACTTGTCAAATAAAGGCATTTCTGGCCCTGCTGAGCTGCTGCCATGCTACTCCTGCCCAGCTCCACTCTCCAAGGCAATTCCTTTCACTGGCTCCATTTAAGACAGGTCATTACAGAAGCTAATTATGCTGAGCAGTAAGAAAGAAGAAATAAATCACTGTTTCAAACACAACAAAGCACCAGCTGTGAAAGGACTGAGCTTGTTCTCTTGAGCACTCTGCACTCACCTGCTTTCTGATCATGGCTGCTCCCACCTGAGCCGAGCTCCTCCAGCCTGGGATGTCCTTCCCTCCAGGAAGGGTCAGAGCAGCAGCACTTGCTCAACTCTTGGCTCCATGGAGCTGCTCCCTGCTCAGGTAAGAGAGAGCAGCCTTCTGCTCCTCCCAGCCAATCCCAAAGTGCTCTTCCCCACCCCTTCCCACAGGGCCCGAAGCTGCTTCCAGCTGCACCAAGCCAGGCTGACTGTACAGGTTCTGCCACAGCAACATGAAAGCCATTCTGCTCCTTTATCATCATCCACCAAACACACAAGGCCAGCAGCTGCTCTACTGAGAGCAGCTCCACAGCACAGCCTCAGAAATCAGTGTACAATAAAGGCAGATAAACCTTGGAAAACCACTCAGATTGGGGAGGTCCAATGGCAACATGTGAGTTTCTGCTCAGGGACTTTAACACTGACCTACATAATTTTATTAACACTATTCATATGTAACAATCATGTATCAGTCAAGTGTCACAGTAAGAAGTGACATCTGAATTCTTACTAAGAAATAATAAGACACAGCCCTGCAAAAGGAGGAAAGATTTCCTTGGCAATCTTTTCTTCAATCTATCCAAACTTGTTGCAATTTTTCCATCTTACATGATGAAAGACAGAGACAACTACAGAGCAGCATACCAGTAAT